TTTCTTTCACATTATATCCCTTCTTTCTGATTCAATTTCTTTCTTACAGTAATTCTTTCAATGACAGTTTGTGAGTCTCTTATTTTTCTCTAAAGGTGATTTTATTTCAAACAGGATATAGCTACTTGGTTGGTTGTTATTTTCCTTAATAATTGTAAACTTATTCCATTTTCTTCTGACATCTGTTTTTATAAATGAGAAGTCTGTATTAGTCCAATTGTCATTCTCTTGTAAGTAATATCTTTTTTCTTGGATTTCTTACAATTTTTTCCCCGTGTTGTTGATATTTTGAAGTTTTAATTCTGAAGACTCATTGTCTTTAATTCTAGAAAATTCTCAGAAATTATATCTTCAAATTGCTTTTCCCACATGTTCTCTATTTTCTCCATCTGGAATACCTATTAGATACATGTGCAACCTTCTTATTCTCTCTTCCATGTCCTTTAACCTCCCTTTCATATTTCTGTTTGTTTTTTAACTCTGCTACTTTCTGAGTAATTTTTTCAGACTTCTCTTCCTAATCACTAATTTTCTCTTTAGCTATATCTAACCTATTTAATTCATCAATGGGTGAATTTTGGTGATTTTATTTCTATTCCTATAAGTTTTTTTCACATGTGTCTATTTTTTCGTATTATCTTGTACTCTCATATGGCCTTCCTTTATTCTTCCTGTTCGTTAAAATGAACAATTTTAGCATTCTGTAATTTTTATGGTTTTCAATTCTTGGGGATGTTATTTGTGCTGTTTCCTGCATTTAAGGACTTTCCTTCTTGGTGATTCATTTCCTCATGTAACTTTTTATTTTTATTTTTTTACATTTTGGGGTGTTGTAGGAAGCCTCCTGTGTCTATCTGGGAAAGGCTTCTCTTATTTGATTTTTATTTCTCTCCCTCACCTCCAACCCCTCCTCCCTATAGGCACCCACTCTTATGTATTTGATAAAATGTCTTGGCTACATATGTTTCTTTATGTACTTTATAGTATTGTTTTGATTGTGTATTTTTTACTTATGTAAATGGTGTTATGCTCTGGATCTCATTCTGGTTCTTATGTCTTCACTCAACACTGGGTATTTAAGATCTACCCGTGTTTTGGTCTGAATAGCTACTTGTTGCTTCTTTGTAACGCACTTACTATTCCATAGTATACATCCTATACATTTATATTCTTTTAGTGATGGACATCTGAATTGCCTCTCATCTCCCTGCTATCACAAACAATCCCCCAATGATCTTTCTGGCCATGTTTCCTTAAGTGAGAATTTTTCTGGGATATATACCTAGAAGTATGATTCCTGGGTCATAAGGCATATACGCACAGAAAATTTAACTAAATATTACCAGAATATTTTTTCAGAGCAAGTATATCAATTTGTATACCCACCAGTGGTGCCCTAGATGCAAATCCATGTTCCACCACATGTTACTGTGAGACCTTGGAGAAACTACTCAACCTCTCTGGGCCTTAGTCTCCCCATCAGTAAAAGAGGATAATTACAGCATCTGTCTCATCAGGTTGTTAAGAGGATAAAATGAGTTAATATATACAAAGTATATAGAGCACTTCCTGAATATGATAAACATCAAAATAAATCGTAGATGCTATTATAACAACTACTGTTACTATAGTTATCAATTAAGTAAGCTTCTCCTTCTCTGAATTGCCTAGTTATATCATTTGCCCATTTCCCATCCCCCCTTGGATTTCAATTTTTTTCCCCAAAGACTTGCAGGAATTTCTTAAATATTCTAGATATTGATTCCTTGTTGCCTTTAAACTTTGTGAATATTATCTCCCAGTTCTGTTAATTATGTCTACAGAGTTCTTTGACAGAAACCTTTACTATCAATATAGTCAAATTTATCCTTTAGTCATTTTAATTTTTTTAATTTTTTTGGCTTTTTGGTTTAAAAATTTTCCCTAGCCCTGCTTCAAAGATACCCTGTAACATCTTCTGCTGTAGCCTTTATAGACTTACCTTTCACATTCATGTCTCCTCATACGGTTTATAACAGTGAACTCTTATTTCTGTATTTCTTTTTCCCTGTGTGAGTCTGTGCCTAGGGTTATGAAAGTATTCCAGTTTTTTCCTGCTGCATGTCAAAGACCAGTTTTTATGTTAATTTCTGAGCTCAGGATTTCTGTAGGATGCAGGGTATAAATTTGGATTTTACACCTCTATGACATAAGTCTACATTTTAGATTTCTTGCAGGTACCTTTTCCCCTACTCAAGGCCTGGATAATCAGCAACTTTCATCAGTGTTCACTGAGCCAGTGAGCAGAGATTTTTCAGACTGCATTTCAAGGAAGCATAGGTATTTGAGGCTCTTTGTGCAAGGGCCTCAGTTCCAACTCCCCCACCTTCTACCTGCCCAAAGCTACATTTTCAGTCTCCAAGTGAGCATTCGTGCTTTCTCCTCCAAGCTCAGGACCTGTATTGGAGCTTGAAACCCCTGTGGGCCACCAATACCTTAACTCCCACTTACTGTTTTGGCTTTGATTTTGATGTCTCTTTCATTTTGGGTGCCTGAGGATTTCCCCTTTTTTTTTTTCAGCTTGACTATATATTTTTAAAGCATTTTTGTTTTGTTTTATCCAGCATCTCTGTGGGAGAAAAGGTCCATTTACATCAGCTCAGTGTGCCATTTTGCCAAGTCTGTCTTTTAATTGGTATTCCTATTAATCTCAGTACAATTTCAGCTTTCAGCATTGCCACCTTACATTCACTAAGTGGCCCTTGAAAACTTTCTGCATTCTCTTTTTATTGAAAATTTTTATTCAAATTTATAACCATGTTTTTAGTGTCTGTGTATTAGTAAATCACAAAATTCTGTTCAATTTTTTTTAACCTTGCGCAGTTGCTTATTCTGTTAAAATTATTCTATTTTCTCATCTAATGTAGTTGTTAACAAAATATGCAATAGCTCTGACCACAAGGTCCTGCAGTTAATGTTCAAAAGACCTCCCTTTGGATCACTGATATATCTTCTTATTTTTCAGTCTGATGAAAGATGTGGATACTCTCCCCAGAAAAGTGAACAAAATACAACATTTTAATTGTTTTAGTTTGCCCTAAAACTCATAATTCCAGTCACTTGTTTCTTATTAAAAAGAATGTTTAAAGACATCTAATGTATGTCCAAGTAAGTCTTTTGATTTACTATAATCCATAAGTCCTGTGTCTTCTCTTAGGGAAGAAAGTACATTATGCTGCTATAATTTTTCCTTTAGAAAAACCACATTGTTGCCTGTTTAGTAGTTTATGTTTTGTGCTATTTGGAAATGGAATTATTCTGATTTTTTCTCAGATATTAAAATAAGTCAATTTATAATTTTTTAGAACCATCTGCTTTTTTCTAAAGATAGCTCCTACTTCTGTCTGTTCTAAACCTTACAGGATCCTCACCCCCCCCTGTTTTCCACAAGTACCAGGAGATGCAGAGTCCAGTCCTGCTTTTACTGCTGCTATTATTGCAGCAAGTCGGTTATCTCCTTGGCCACAGTTTCTTTATCTGTTTTTAAAAAGTATGCATTTTTATAATACAGATATTAAGACATACTGTGCTCAAACAGTAGGGCTGGATGTTCTCAAAGATACTTTTGGAGTATACTAAAAAATTTTATGAATTTCATGTACGCCCCACAATGTTAGATACCATGGCGTATTAGATAGGGTTTGGGGTGATTAGAACTGAAAATTTTACATTAATTTTAGGAAACTTTTGTAAAGAAATGAACTATATTTTTTAGAGCAGTTTTAGGTTGACAGCAAAATTGAGAGGAAAGTATAGAGAGTTCCCATATAACCCTGTCCCCACACATACACAACCTTCCCTAAAATCTCACACCATGATGATATGATTGTTATAATCAGCAAACCTGCATTGACACATCATTATCACCCAAAGTCCAAAGTTTTCATTAGGGTACAGTTTTTTGTTTTGTTTTTATTGATTTTTAGAGAGAGAGGAAGAGAAAGTGGGAGAGAGAGCGAAACATCATTGTGAGAGCGAAACATCAGTCGTCTGCCTCCTGCACGCCTCCTAAGGGGACAGAACTTGCAACCAGGGCATGTGCCTTTGCCAGGAATCTAACCAGCAACCTTTCTGTGCATGAGAGGACTACCAACCAACTGAGCCACACCAGCCAGGGCAGGGTGCAGTTTTGGTATTGTATATTTAATGGATTTTCGACAAACCTATGATACATGAATCCAGCATTGTAATACCATACAGAGTATTTTCACTGGAGGTGTGCATCTGGAGTTCTGAGGAGAGGTCTGAGGTGGAGATATAAATCTGAAAGTTGTCTGCATTTGGAGATTTCAGAGTTACGGAATCAGATGAGAGAAGATATGAGGTGAGATGACTGAGTCCTGGAGCACTCCAAACTTGAGAGGCCAAAGCAATGCAGAGGGCGTCTGACCAAAAGAAACTGAGAAGGCTAGAGAGGCAGGAGAACCAGGGAGAGCAGGCGCCAGTAGGAAATGCATTTTAAGAGGGAGAGAATGACTTGTGCACAGTGTTGCAGATAGGTGGAATAAGATGAGGACATTGTGTTACAAGTCTCTGTTTATATATCTGTCTCCTTCAGTTGGCTGAGTACCTGTTGGGAGCGGGAACACATGCAGAGGTGTAGTTAGTTACAGCTTTGAAAGCAGTGAGACATGGGTGTGCCGGTTAATGGCTGCCTTCCCTTAGGCTGGCTCTCAGCCCCTTGCATTTGTAAAATGGGGGGGATATAGTATCTTTTCCATACCGTCATGAGGATTAACTGAGGTCATCCAGCTGAAGCACGAAGCATCGTCCTGTCCATGTAGTTAAACACATGACAGTTATCAGCATTATTAATTTTTGTACCTGGCACAGTGCCCCTCCATATTAAGCAGCACTTGTTGAATGAATGAGCGCCTTTTTGTTGGTTTGTTTTACTATTTCATTCATGGCATTTCCCTGTGTTTTGAAGTATTAACATGACTTTTTTGGGGTTTCTCTAGGATCTAGTGCTGATCCTTACAAAGTGGATTCTGGAAGAAGAGAGGAGGAGAAGCCCTAGGGCAGAGCCAAGGCGATGGAGCTCCCCAACTATAGCCGGCAGCTGCTGCAACAGCTCTACACACTGTGCAAGGAGCAGCAGTTCTGCGACTGCACCATTTCCATTGGAACCATTTACTTCAGGGCTCACAAACTTGTCCTGGCTGCAGCCAGCCTCCTGTTCAAAACCCTGCTGGACAACACAGACACCATCTCCATCGATGCGTCGGTGGTGAGCCCCGAGGAGTTCGCCCTCCTGTTAGAAATGATGTACACTGGCAAACTGCCCGTGGGCAAGCACAACTTCTCCAAAATCATCTCTTTAGCCGACAGCCTCCAGATGTTTGACGTGGCCGTTAGCTGTAAAAATCTGCTGACGAGCCTTGTAAATTGCTCTGTCCAGGGGCAGGTGGTGAGGGATGTCTCCGTGCCGCCCTCAGAGTCACTCAGGAAGGAGGCAGAGAAGCCCGAAGTAGAAGTCCTTTCCTCAGAGGGTGCGGGAGATTCTCCCCGGGAGGGCTGCGCCCCCGCGAAAGCCCACGTGCAGGAAGCCATCCCCACGGTTGCACAGGAGATGAGCGTGGGCCCTTCCCCTGCCCGGGAGCTCCAGGGGGATGCAGGCGCCCCAGCGGAGACTCCTCACGCAGCTGAAGTTTGTCCTTCCTTCCCTGCCCTACGAGCCTTCAGCGATGCAAAGGAGGCGAGTGCAGAACCAGGTAATACTCGTGTCATAGTTGCTTTGTAATCTGTTCCATCATCAGTTACTGGATTCAGTGATATTCATGAATTTTTTGTTTCATTGATAAATTTACCAAAGACCACTGTTAGGTAGGATGTCAAAATCCAATGTATCAGTCCTACTGGGACATTCTTCTGGGAAAAGTGTCTGTGTTTGAGAGTGTGGGAAGTCTGAAGCTGAACTACAGAGCAGAAAAGCAACGTTGAAATAACAGTGCCATTTTGGATACTTACTCAATATTTCCAGGATGCGGGTGGCACAAAGGGGGAAGATGTTAGAGACATTGATTTCTATTTATTACTCATAGCTGATGTCAATTATAAATGCAGTCTGTGACCTAAATCCTCAATAGCTTAAACTTTTAAAAATCATTTCAAATAATGAATCAATGATTTTTTATTTTGTTTTGTTTTACATTCAGAGTATGAGAAGAAACACTACCAGCTGAATTTTCTTCTAGAAAATGAGAATATCTTCTCAGACGCACTCTTGGTTACCCAGGATGTTTTAAAAAAACTAGAGGAATGTTCAGAAATTAAAGGTGTACAGAAGGAGGTAGGTACTATGAGTTTTACTTGCTAGTTTAGTGTTCTCAGGCTACCAGATCCATTTCCCAAATGGTGCAGAAATATGAAAATGCAAAATCCCCCAGAGTCTCAATTTTTTTCAAACTTTTTTTTTTTTTACATTTATTCCCTAAAGGGAAGTCTTGCAAAAAGTACTAGGCAAGATACTTTCAAAACAAAATTGTATTTTGATTACCAAGTGAATCCCAGCTTATAACCAGTTTTGATTCTTAAGTTATTACACCATCCCCTCTGATTAATCATGGATTAAACAAAACAACAACAAATATTTAGCACATGGTACAAAAAGGATGTAATATAAACTTACATAGTAAATTGCATCCAGTGTTTAGACTATAATGGCTCTTTTCAGATATCAAAACAATAACGGTGAACATTTATTGAACATTTACTGTGCTGTGTTTGGAACATATGTTATTTCATTTAATCCTCCCAGAAGTCATCGAGGTGGATACTATTTTGCTATTTTTTAGCCCTGTTTTATGGATGAGAAAACTGTCTCAAGGAGATGATGTAGACTGGCCAAGGTCACAGAGCCTGTAAGACTCTGAGCGGGAATTCAACCCTAAGCATTCTGACTCTGAGCTATTCCCTTACATGCTGAGCTAATACTGCCTCCCAACAGGGTGAAAATGGTGTGTATATCGTGTGTGTAACTGTTTAGGAATGAACTGACAGGACACTGCCAAATGGTTGTCATGCTCTGTTGCTCAGCTGACCTTTTTTTCTTCAGTATCTCAGTGAGACACACCCCCACCTGTGGGCTCCCTCACTACCTAATTCCTCATGACCCTGCAGGATTGACTCCATGGCCACTTTGGAACTCCCCTTTCTTCCCTATCTCTCAGCCCTCCGTTCCAAGAGGGGCTAGCAGAGCAAGAGGGCACTGCCCCATAGGCTTCCTCATCTGATTGGCGGGGCAGTGTTGGGAGGTCTCCCATGTTGCTGTAGGCATTTAGTTTTTGTTAGTTACTATTAATCCAATAAATAAATGCCTTCTAATATTTAAATATATCCCTGATGCATAGCAAATCACTTTTATAAAAAAACAAAGTCAAAGTCAAGTATTTATTTTAACCATGGTTAGTCAACCATTGGCTGTAAATTGTTTTCTTAAGAGATAAGCTATTTACAAGACTGGGCTGACCCTGAGGACTCCTTAGGGAGCTTCAAGTTATAAATCCTTGGTATCCTGTGTACCAGTTGTGCTGAAGGACATTATGGTTTTATGTATTTGCACTTGGATGTTCTCTTAACTGTTTAATCCATCATTTTTGTCACTAGTTTGTTACTGTGAGAGCTAGTCACACTTCTTTATTTTCTCTCTTAAGACTTCCACTCCACTTAAGTTTGGATACAGAGAGTGGCATCATTCCTTAGATCAGCAATACTGCAATCATAATGACACCTCTGTACTGACTTGAACTGTCTTAATGCATTTTTCTTTTCTAACACTGGTGCCTAAAAGTATCTGGCACATAACAGGGGTTCAAAAATATTTAGAGACATGGATTCATTTAACATTTTTCCTCCAATTCCTGTCCTAATCTTCTGATGGCAAAAGCATTACTGGTACTTTGCAAGAACACTGAATCACTGTTGGTGATCATCATAGGCTTATGTTATTTCTTCCTCAGTTTTAGAGGTCAGAGTAAGCTCTACAAGCCATTTGGTGGCTGTATTTAAAACTGATTTGGTTATATTCCATAATAAATCTGCCCTCTGCATAATGAAAAAGAAAAAAGATACTTCAAGAACATAAGATTAAGAAAAATATATATAGTTAGGGAGGTACTGCTTTCTTAGGCCCTGCACGCCTCTCTCTTTTTACTTGCTTTTAGACAGCTTTATTGAGGTATGATTGACATATAGTAAACTGTGCATATTACTTAAAGTGTATAGTTTGATAAGTTTGAAAACTGAAACCATCACTACCATCAAGGTAGAGAAACAGTCTGTCACTTCTTAAAGTTTCATTTCCCTTCGTAATCCTTCCTTCCTGCTCCTTCCACTTGCCCATGCCCAGGTAACACTGATTTGCTTTCTGCCTCTACAGATTAATTTGCATTTTCTAGAATATTATATAAAGGGAGTCATATAGCCTGTATTGTTATTGTCTGGCTCCTTTCGTTCAGCATAATTATTTTCAGGCTCCGTGTTCATTCCTTTTCACTGCTGAGCCATGTTCCATTGTATGAGTGTACAGTTAATCCAGCGCTACTAGCCTTGTGACCTTGAGCAACTTCATCTCTGTGAGCCGTAATTTCCTCATTTGTAAAATCGGAATGTTATCACCTGCATCACAGACTCATAGTGAAATTAAGACTATTTATATTAAACTCATACCAAAATTCCAGGCACATAAAAAGACTCAGTAGGTGGTGACTGCTGTTGTTTGTTGTATGGTAACACAGCCTTTTTAGACTTAGTTGACCTTGAAACCCCTTTTTCACCTGATGCCTTTTAATATTCTAGTGCTGTGGTCATTTGCTCCTCCTACATGAGATGGTTCGCTATTACTTTAGGCAGAATTTGTGAGTCATATTTTCAGATGGGTGCCATTACCCTCTTGGCAGCAGCTTCCTAGACTGCAGGCGTAGTGTCCCGTACAAAGCCATTGGTCTCTGGAACAGTTGTTCAGTGTATATAAAAATCATCTTGGGTCTTGTGAAAATGTGCACCTCCAGACACATTTCCAGAGAGTTTGATTCCCAGGTGGTAACAGAACTTGGACATCTCCATCTTTAACACCTTCCCCATGGGCTGCTGTTTGGGGATCTCTGAACCACATTTTGAGAAGCACTGCCGGAAAATGAATGGCTCACAGAATTCTTAGTGTATGACAGCAGATGTCAGTGTCCCTGCTGACATCTCAGACTTTTGAGGGGTCACTGAATATCCACTTTTTCCAAGTGTTACTTTTTGCTTACCCCTTGATTCAGCAGATATTTACTGAGCAACTGGTATGTGCCAGGCATTGAGCTGGTTGCTAGGAAAACAAACCTAAGACTGGATCCCTATCCTTTAGAATGTCCCAACAGCAAAGAAATCCTGCCATGTGTAATTTGGGGGGAAGTGTACACAGAAGTCACCAAACTGCAGGAATCACTGAAAGATGTCAGTGTTCAGGGTATTTAAGAATGTTCTGCATCAGTCTGCATTTCGGTTACAATTGTAAAGGTGGTTTGGAGGTTTTATTTGTTGTTGTTTTCTGCTTACATATTTTTAGTTCCCAAAGAGCTTTCAGTACTTTTTTTTGTTGGGGTGGTTGTTATTTGGTTAATCATCATAACGTAACTTGAGATAGTTTAACCTTAAAAATAACCTATCCTTAGATGTGTCATTTTGAGACTTGATTTACAAGACTTGTGAGTGATGTTCTGGTTGAGATGGACCAGCCTGTTCCTTTTCTGAAAAACAGATACAGGGTGTGCAGCTGGCCTGGACTGAGTTTAGGGAGGACACCATGGACCAGTGTCCTGATTATTTTATTTCCAGAGATAAATGATGAAAGGTGGCAAAGCCATTCCTTGAGCAATGATTGTGGCAACATGAGAAGAGGCTGGGCTGCTTGAATTGTGTGAAACCAAAGCCAAAGCTGATTGCAGAGAAGTCTCTGGGGTGCTGGGATGGGGCGTGTCTTTTGCCTGTCTTTATTTCAGTGCAGTATCCCCCACCCATTAGAAAAGCAGGTACTGACCTAAGGCTTTCACCTGAGCTTAGTAAAATCTTTATTTAAAGGCAAACTCAAGACATTTCTCCAGCATTTTACACTGGAACTTTTCATTGTCTCCTTTATTCCTAGCCACGCCCCTGCGTTAATTAATCATGTGTGTAGAAGAGCGAGCCTCTCACTGGAATGGGAGACAGCTTTCCTACTGTTGACTCCTTGCTGTTTGACCCGCTCTTCCCTGAAAGTTCTAGAACGACTCCCAGAGCCCAGGATATAGGAGCATTTTTTCCCCTTCAACTTTGTTTCAAAGACAAACAAACTCGTCTCCTCTGATCTAATGTTTTCAGTTGTGTCACCGCTTTGGAGGTTTGTCGAGAAATGCAGTCTGTGCTGTGTGGCCTGCATTCACTGACAGGGTAGGCCCTCTTGAGAAGTGAGTATGTGTAGGATTCATTTTTCAGGTCTATGAGAGATGACAAGTTGTTTTTCCAAACCTCCTCTGTGTTAATTATCAGGTGTAAGATATGCTGCCATAGATAGAAGGGCTAGTGGTTTTATGGCAAGGAAATTCCATTCAGTTAAACATTTATTAAGCACCTACTATGTACCACTCTCTACTAATCTTTGAGACCAAGAGGAATGCTACAGGTTTTAGAGGTACCACTACACCGTGTTCAAAGGGATGCTGATTCTAGTAAGTCCAGTAGAACCCAGTGTAAGTGCATTTAGTTACACTCAAAATCTGGGAGATGGGACTGGGTAAAAAGGGTGCCAGGTCAGTGGAATGAGCTCAGTGTTTCTTCCAGGCTACTTTGCTCACTTGCTGTATGACCCTGGGCAGTCACTTCACCTCTCTGACTCTCGTTTACCAGTCACAGTAATGCCGCCTAGGACTGACATGCAGGGTTCAGTAGGTGGTGCGTGTGCACAGAGCCTGGGGTGGTGTTGAGCTGTTGGGTCTGTATCATTACTGTTCTTAGCACTTAGGGGAGGCATGAGCAGACAACAATGTACTGTAGCCCAAACAAATCTGAGGGCACTAGGCAAACAGTTGGGGAGAAATAAGTAAGTCCAACGAAAAGACCTGAATATAAGGGAAAGATTAAATGCTTTTTCACATATAATAGAGGGAAAGGAAACGGTCTCATCTTTAAATATTTTACTCAGATAAAATGCTTTGATTACACATGTGACTATGAATTGCTATGAATTTATTGAGGTACCTTTAACTCTAAGAATCAAAGTTCCAAATGTATGATTAAAGAACAAAACTCTGTTTTGGTTCATGTCTTAGAGTTCTTTACATGGTAGCAATCAATGAACCCCCGCCTGTAGCAGTACACTATTTTTAGGCAGATACGCTATTTCAGAAAGGAGCTCTCTCCACTGTGGCGCCCCAGGCAGTGCGGGAGCTGGTGGAGTGCCAGCTATGAACGCTGGCTCTGGTACAGGTCCCCAGTAGGTTCTGGAAGAAAGAGCCGAGAGCAGGGCCATCCAGGCAACTGACGGCTCCCTCTTGGCCCTCATCAGCCCACTACTCCTTCTCTTCCCAGATGGTCACCCTCGTGTCACTGCTGAGCAATGAAGTTAACAAATGTTTTCATTTCACTGCTGAGTAGTTCTGCAGAGGAGGAGACAGCAGCAAGGATGAGCAGCACATCAGATGCCACATTGAGGAGGCGCCTCTTCCAGTGGCTCAGACAATGCCAGACAGATTGGATGCTGAGAAAGGTGGATTCGGGATATTCAGAAGGCTTTGGCGCACAGAGCTGGCCAAGTATAGAATGAGATAACTGTGTGCTGTCTAATTATGACAAGCTAGAGAAGGAAAGGAAAGAAAGGGAAAATAAAGAGAAAGAAACATGTACCAAGGGCATTAGCAGTGAGCGAGCCTCTGTTAGTTACCTAGTGCTGTGTAACAAAGTACTCTCAAGTTTAGCAGCTTAAAAGAACAAACGTTATTACCTCACAGTTTCTGTGGGTCAGGAAGGCAGGCCTAGCTTAGCTGAGTCCCTGGCTCAGGGTCTCTCACAGGGTTGCCCTCAAGGTGTCAGCCAAGGCTACAGACATCTCAGGGCTCAGCTGGGAGAGTGACTCTTTCCAAGCTCACTCACGTGACTATTGGCAGAATTCAGAAGACCCACTTCCAAGTTCACTCCCAGACTGTTGGCCAGAGACCTTAGCTTCTTGCCTCTCTGTAGGCAGCTTACAGCACTGCAGTTGGCATTAGAGCAAAGACAGACACATAGGTGAGGTGGAAGTCACAACGACCTGATCGCAGAAGTGGCACCCCATTACCTTTGCCATATTACCTTCCTTAGTTATTAGGTGCAGCCCAAGGCATGAGTACCTGGAGGCAGGAATATTGAGAACCATTGTAGAGGCTGCCAACCTCGGGTCCCTACTGCTGTCAGGGAAAAGGTCTTCTACAGATATTGTAGGCCAGCTAATGACAACATGGAGGGTAGAATAAGTGTGATTATAGGGGATTAAGCATTCAATTGGTGTCTTTATCTTATTTATTATTTTTAAAATAGAGACAAGATAGGTTCATGGTAGTTACTTCAGTAAAATCTTAATGTGGATTATTAAACTGTGTTTTATCTAAGTTTACTTTGGAGATGACCAAGAAACAAAGGGACCTTTGTATTTTTAAATTTGCTTTATACAGTCATTCTGCGATCAAGAAACAAGCTAAAGCAAAACCAAGAAATACAAAGTCTTAACTCATTTATAATTCCTATTTATTTGAGAGGGAGAGAGACAAAATCTCTCTAAACAAAAATTTCAAAACATATAATTCCTACCAGAATTGATAACTATCTAGCTGAACTTTGCAAGTATAGATCTTGATGAGATCCTATCATGGTGTGTGTGTGTGTGTATAGAAAACCTTAACTTTGCTTTCCAAAGACCCTTGTGAGAAAACTGTTTTATGGTATCGACAGTAAAAAACATCAAAGGTAGGTTGTAGTTTTGCTGAGTAGAAATGTAAAGACTATATAAGACTGTGCACATGAAATTACTTTTTGGTTACTTTCAAAAAATTCCTTATTGCTAAAATAGAAGTGTTAACCCCACCTTCCAATTGGCCTTCCTTCCATTTGTGTGAGAGCTACTCTATCAGATCAAAGAAAGAAAAGATAATTTTGTTTCTTTTATCACTGGAGTTGTTGATATTTTTTGTACTCTAGGTTTAGAAGAGTCAAGATGGTTTTTTTTTTCAGACACGTGGTGCTGAGATCTCTAGGCAGAAACTATGTGGCTCTAGATTTAAACACAAAGCTCAGTATTAAAGAGCAGTTTTTCAGGGTATCTGCATAAAAGTGATAGTTGAGAGCTTTTCAAAAGGGAAAGAATTAAGAGAGAAAAAATGAAGAGTGGAGACCAGTCCTGAGTTATGGTTATAGATTTGGAAGAACCAGCGAGGAAGGCCAAAAAGGAGTGGTCAGAAAGGACGTATCTGCATGTGTCAGTATGAAGCTAGAGGAGAATGTTATACAGAGGCAGGAGCAATGCCAAATGCCACAGAAAGGTCAGGTAGGTGGGAATGGGATTGCTAAGGCCCTACTTGCCAAATCCAAGGAGCATGGGGTTCTTATGTCTGGCTAATCTCTCTTTCTGGTGCTTACTTGTGTTCTGCAGACCATAATGGGATGTCTCTTGGGTGCAGAAGGATGTTCAGCATTCCAGAGAATCCTGGATAAAGTAAGAGACCAGAGCCTGGATGTTCAGACTGTCGTGTCCCTGTTGAGGCTGCACCAAGATTCTCATCCTGCAGTAAAGACAGCACTGTCAGGCGGAAAGCCAGGGGATGTGGGAGCGGTGTGGCCAAAAGGTAGGAGAAACCCGTCCACCTGAGTCACTGAGTTTTATTCTGGGCAGATGCTCTGAAGTTTGCTCCAGTGATTCATTTCTTCCGTGGCCTAGTTATTAAGTGATTTTCACATAAGTTGTACATGTAACTCCAGAAGCCACGTGTTAAATTTATACAAGCTAAATTTGTGTCTCCATTTCTGTCCCCTAGTGTGTTAAACTGGTCTGACGCCTTGAGGCTGGAGAATACCATCAGTGTCCTGCCCTTCAGAAAGCCAAATGTCCCCCTCAGTGTTTTGAGCTGGGGTGAACTGGTTCGCTGACAGCACTTTTAAAGGCTGTGGTTTCTCTCATTTGGGTTCGGTACAAAGCAGTGGCCTTGCCAACCAGAAGTTAACCTCTGGCTGGCTCTGCAGCTTTGTGTTTCGACAGATAAATGAAGCACTTTTCCTTTCATACAATTTAAACAGAATAATAAAGTATTTTCCTTTCCGAAAAGAGAGGTTCTGCATTTGGGTCCTCAGAATAGGCTGAGAATCACTTGACTATTCTGTTAGATCTCTCTCGACAAACCATGCTGTCATATTCTTCAAATTGACTAGCTTCTCTTGCGTGTCTCTAACTCTTTCTCCCGCAGGGAGCACAGAGGAGGGAAAGACCTTGTCTGCTCTGTTGCTAGAACACAAAGAGGACCTGATCCGGTGTGTAACACAGCTGAGACCTATTAGGGAGTTCCTGGAAACAGCCAAGGAGGGATTCCTGCCCAGTGCAGAGAAAAGGGTAACTGTCGAGTGTTTCCTCCTCCCTCCTGAGTTCATATGGCACTGGGTTTTTCACCTCCTTTGTGGCACGTAGCAATTTTAACCTTGCACTATTTTTGTATATGCTACACAGTAAGCACGTTGAAGTTCAGGTTCTTGGTTCATGCCTCTGTATCCTTGCAACAGCTTGCCGAGGGTCCTGCACATCGCAATTGTACACTAGATGGTTAGGGGGATGGATATTCCTGCTCTGACCCAATGAGTTTTTACTATAAAATAGTTGTTCTGAGAGTTGAAGTGTCTAGGTGTATTTGTAATTGTTATGACACTTTTCCCCTTTACAGAAATGATATACTATTATCTGTAGAAAACTGGGGAAACAAACAGAAAGAAGAAAATTCAAATACCCCACCATCCCATCACTCAGGTGATCGCTGCTGACACCGTCTCGCACGTGTTCCCCCTGTGCTCATTTCCATCATTCTGGGATGGGATTATCAAACAGTTGTTTAACTTTTTACTTAATATATTGTGACATTTCCATACTTACAGTATGGATTTGGTAGCTGTATTGTATTCTGTCTAATGGATGTACCATAATTATTAATTCTTTATTGTTGGGCCTTTATTCCCAGTATTTTGCTGTTGTGAATGGTGTTGCAGAGGACATCCTGGCACACAGTCTTTGCCTACTTCTGAAATCATTTCCTGAGAATAATTTTCAAGAAGTGGGATTTTGAAATAGAGAGTATAAAATTTTTCAAGTGCTTGATATATGTCGCCAAAATGCCCTTCAGGAAGGTTATACCAATTTACTCTCCCACCGCCAGCTACTGAAATCCTCATGAAACTGCTGGCGTGACTCCTCAAGTCAACTAGATCACTGATTTGTTGGTGATATTGATTTCAACTTTGTGCTAAAAATATTTTTATATCTGGAAGGAAGGAGTAGAGACAGAACTTTTGTGGTGTCAGTTCGTGGTGGGAAGTGGCTTAGAGGTTCAGGAGAGCAGCTTTGAGAAACCACTGGTATAATGACCAAGCACCAGATTCACAGTGAGACTGACGTCCAGATTCTCTTTTTCTCAGTAGTCTTGTCATTGCTGTTGTTTCATATAAAATGTGAGTATTCTTTAATCTCAAAACTGTATTATGCAAATTAATTGTATTTTTAAACTTTTAACTCCTTTAAACTTAGAGAAAGATAATACATGAAATAAGATGAATATTACACCCCTGTTTTATCCTTAGACTTCAGATTAAGTGTAATTTCAGGCACTCGGTTAAAGCAAGTTGCTTATAGCTCTGGAGGTACCTGATCCCCTTAGTGATTCCATTCGACTACTCATTCCAGCCTTTGCCTTATTAGCTGGATTGAATGTGTCCTTTGAACTGTTTCATTTCTTAGTAAAACAGCATTTATAGGTAGATCCCAAACTCAGCCTCATTCTCTGCAGCAAGACAGACCATGCTGTCATTTTCTTCTGTCACTTTCAGTTAACTTGACAGAAAGAGCTAAAGAAGAAGAACTTAAATTAGTTATAAATCACAAAAGACACTTCTTAGGATTGGGATTCCACCAGAGCTTCATTAAGCTACTCCTTCTCACGAAAATTGAAGCGAAATGATAAAGCAGGTGCGTGGGGGTGAATGTTGATCGAATAGCCACTGTGTTTCCACATCACGTGGAGCATGCACTCAGGTCTTTTAGAACTTTTTCTGTTGTGGAATGATGCTAATCACAAGCACCATGGCCCTCACCTGTACATATCTTGGGTCCTATAAGAAATGGTAAATGGGGCCCAGCCGAGTGTGGCTCAGCTGTTGAGCATCGACCTAGGATCCAGGTGATCAGGGTTCGATTCCCGGTCAGGGCACATGCCCGGGTTGCAGGCTGCAGCCGATCAATGACTCTCTCATCATTGATGTTTCTCTCTCTCTCTCCCTCTCCCTTCCTCTCTCTGAAGTCAATAAAAGATATATTTTAAAAAAAAAGAAAGAAATGGTAAATGGGAGTGTCTTCAGGATTGGCAACATTCAGAAATAGTAATTATACAGCTGCCATTTACTTTGCTCACTGTGGCCAAGACGTATGCCGAGGACCTTTTAAGCATATAAATTCTACCCTCATAGCAACTTTATGAAGTCATGGCTATTGCCTTAATTTTAAAGATGAAGAAACAGACACTTAAGAAGGTTAAGCAGCTCACCCAAAGTCGCAGCTGCTTGTGGCCAGTCCTGGAATCCAGACTTCAAACAAGGCACATTCTCTTAACCACTGCGCACACTGCTTCCTAATAATATCAGTAACCACTGTCATTGATTCACAGTCATGTGTCCTGGGGGTTATGCTAGACTCCACAGAGAGCAACTTCATTTTACAGACTCCTCATAAGAGCTGTGCAAGAGGTCGTATGCTTATCTCTCTTACAGATGAGGACAGTAATGCTCAAAGAGTTAAATATCTTGCCCAAGCTCACACAGGCAGTACATCTTAGAACTGGGGTTCAGACTAGGCCTGTCTGGCTTTAAAACCCATTCTTCCTCTTAACAGTGACTGGCCACCTCGTTATGTATCAGGTTATTGCTTAGGAACGAAGAGATAGCACTGAAACCAGTATGGTTTTTAGATATAAGCTCTTAAATTTTAAATTGTGATTCATTTAGTAGAAATCTAATACAAGTTAGACCTTAAAGAGAATGACTATGTTCTGTACTGACAAGGAGTGTGACAACTTGATTTATAATACACACATTCCTTTCATATATATAAACCAGTTTGGTTTTATAGCAAAATTTATTATTTTTAAATGGGAGTTAATTTGATAATGGCATGCTATTACAACTGACCTGCTTGACTGTTTCTCCTGAGAACTGGGACTTTCCCAAAGGAAAGCTCAAAATTCAGTTACTATGACTCTATAGATTGCATGTGTTGAAATAACCCCCTGCATTATCAGTTCCATAAGAACCAAGTAGTTATGCATATTGAGTTGTAACCCACTAAGAAATGGTTCTATTGTAACAGGAAATGTCTGTAAAATACATGCCATTTGTTTGGTTTTTCAACCTTTGCTTGAGCCCCATGCATTTGGACTGAGAGCATCCTTTAACATACCAAGGAGGAACACAGGAGTGGCTATGGGACGGTGGCTGGAGCTTGTACGTGAGGCCACCGAGAATGAGAAGAATAGATAGTAAAGAATCTGCAAGAAAAATAATTCACAAATGTACTTTAAATCTCTTATTTTGGAGGGCACAAACTAATATATAAATTACCTGGGTATTCAAATGGCTATACAAATAAAGTAAAATAATAGAATTGCTTTGAAACTGCAACCTGTACCACTATCGGATACTTTACCAAACAGAACAAAAAAACACTATAACTATATTAAAAACTGCCAATCTGTTTCTCAGTTTTAGTGTCTGAACAAACTAAATCTAAAGAATCAGGTTAGATGTAAGCTCCTTGCTCTGCCATATAGACCAGTGTAAGACTATTTTCACAAAGTGCAAACTGTTGGAGGCAAAGAATATACACAGACATGCAACCGACAAAGATTGATTTTCATAGAGCTATTTGTTTAGAGAATGTTTCGGGTTTTTATTGATACAGAATAAGGAAGAGACTTTGAAAAAGGTAACACTAGAGACCAGCAGAGGGAGGACCTGGGGACAGGGCATCTTGTAATACCATCTTGCTGGCTTTTCCAGTGGTGCGTCAGATACACAGAATTGCCAGTAACTGGTTTCTGGTTGATTACTTGCCTCTGCAGGTGATTCTGAATTGCTGTGAGGGCGGAACACCCAAGGAGATGATAGAAAATTTGTTGCACAGAATGTCTGAAGAGAGGACCCTGACTGCGGAGAGTTTGGTAAAACTCCTTCAGGCTGTGAAGACAACTTTCCCGAACTTGGCCCTTCTGCTGGAGAATTTGCAGAAACTAGCCACTTTGCCGAGCACCGCAGGTATTAGTTAATTGTTGGCGCTCTGGACTGGAACCACCCCTACATAAAACACCCTTTAGTTTAAAACACCCTTTTAGTTCCATGCTGGGGAGCAGGATAATGTTAGGAATGCCATTGCAAAGCAGAAACTAGCTGTCACAAATCAGTGATTCTAGTATTTCTGGAGTTAAGATCTGAAATCTGAGAATTCTTTTCTTTTAAGCTCCCTTATGTTCCAGTGGTACAGGGTTTGTTAAAGTGTGGCTTTCCCAGAACTGTCATGTGTCACCAAAAGTACTCACAAGGCTCACCATTTTAACACTTTATGTTTACAAATGTGAGCAGCAAAACCTCAAATCTTGATTTCCCTATCCCCACCTGGGTGCTGTTGGGTTCCAGCAGCCCCCCCGTCCATTCAGTTGGGGCAGTGAGTCCATATTCCATTCCTTAGAAAAACACCAGGTCTCCCCTATTTTAGAGCATTTGAAACTAGATGGTTTTCAGAAAAAGAATATTTGGGCAATGTGAGAACCTTTTTCTAGTTTATAAAAGTAATATATACTTATACAAACTTGAACATTTTAAAAATAAAGAAGAAAACAACCTAAAGCCCTACCTCTTGCTTATATTCATACATTAACATATTTCATCTGTCACATTATTTGTACAATGTTGGGATACTCTACATATTTAATAATTTTCCCATTTAACAGTATAACATAAACATTCTCCCCCATTCAGAAACCTCCCTGTAATCCTGTTTTTGAAGGCTATGTAGTTTTCATTCACAAGGATGTGATGATGTATTATTCATGCCCTTGTTTGCGTACACACGTAGCATCATGGTTAAGACTGTCAGGACTACCTGGGTTTTCATTCTGGCTCATTTTGTAGCTGTGTGACCCTGAGTGAGTGACTTAAGCTCTCTGAACCTCATTCTGTCCTCTGTGAAATAAAGATAAGAAAGGTACCAACCACATTTGTTTTTGTGGCTACTGTGAGATTATATATGCAAAGCATTTAGCACAGTGCCTGGCACATAATAGGCACTCAGTAAATATTGTTTTTTTCATCACCACCACAAGTTATACAGTGACAAATACCTTGGTACATAGATTTTTTTTTTGCTTCAAATCATTTCTTGAAGATAGATTCCCAGAAGCGGAGTTATTGGGCAAAAGAGGAGAATAAATTTTTAAATATCTGCAAAGCTAATGGAAATGCCTGATGGTGTTGATTTTTCTTTACTTTCTAATAAATATGACCTTTTAGAAGATAGTATCTAACAGATTGGCCCAAAGGGCATATAAACAGAACGGTGGGTCAGCTTCCCTACCAGTCTTGGCTCATGCCTGCCTATGTTTGGACCACCACATGGATCCTTTACCTCCACCTTGATGAACAACACCCCTTGAATCTGTGCATCTGAATCTCTTATAAGTGCAGCCTTCTAATTTCTCCCTCCCTCCCCCCCATTGAGCAATTGCTAGCTTCTGCCACCAGGCGCTTACTTTCAAAGGCTTAGTGGTCTGTGACCCTGAAGCACCAAGTGACCAAGTGTAGACGGAAGGAGACCTGAACACGTGTATGAGGCCCTAAGCCAGGAGCTGAATTTGCCCTCCAGAGGAGACTCAGCGCTCGTGCGCTGATTTCTCTCTTCCTCTCACTTGTAACTCCCTGGTCTTCCATAGAAGCCCTTAAGGAAGCTGCGTTCTATCGAACATTATTGTTTGCTAATATCCTTACAGTCCCAGCGAGCCCTGATCATTACGGGACTGAGCTATTGAGGCGGTATCACGAAAACCTCTCTGAGATTTTCACAGACAACCAGATGTTACTAAACATGATCCCGCATGTGAAGAGCTTAGCCCCTGGAGAACGAGAGGTAAGAGAGGGGGCAGGGGCGGTAAAATGAGAAAGTAAGGAAAAAGATGAATATATATATATATAAAGAAGATACTTATATTTTATATAAATATACACACACAACCACACTGAGAAATGCTAAGGAGTCAGTAGAGGAGAAATCGAAGGTGATTCAGTTCCCGAGGCAGTGTGACAAGTAGGATAGTGGTAATTTCTGCAGCAATAGGAAAGGCATTCAGCAGGAGGAATGGAGAACTTCGTTATGTATAAAACTCTCAGGTAGAGAGAGGTGAAGGATGCTGAGAAACTCCTCCCTGAAGCACAGTCCCTGGGACCCAGTACTCAGACTGGCAGCCCTGCCGCTAGCCCAGCGGCCAGAGCCCCTCACGTGTGTGTTTGTGCTGCATCTTGAAGGTCATGGAGGAGCTTGTGAAACGTGACTCTGGTTCGGGTGGTTTCAGTTCTCTGATGTCAGCAGTTCTGGAAAAGCAGACTCTCTCTGCGACAGCCATGTGGCAACTGCTGCTGCTGGTCCAGGAGACAAAGGCCTGCCCGCTGAGCCCACTCATGGGGGAAATTCGCAGGGAGCCTGGAGCTGATGCTTTCTTCCAGGCAGGTAGGTTACCTGACCTCGGTCACGACTGTCCCCACTGGAGATTATTGTCAGCCTTGTCAGAAAATAAAAAGAGCTCTCTTATGATGGTCTTCCACATCCCTGCCATTAGAAGTAAGGACCAATAATTTTGTTCCAGGATGTAAACCTTTTTAAATAAAATATGCAGTAAGTATTCTAAGCTTATATTAGTAACTATACTGAGTGCAGTCTATTTGCTAGTTTCTTTGCTCCCAGCCCCAGGTAGGAGACAGGTGAAGTGTATTCTGATTTTGAAGAGTTGAGCTGAGAAAAGGTGAAGAGAATTCCAGAGCCAGAAAGGGTGCTCACAGTTTTACTAATGAGTTCCCAACCCCCTTTCTTTCAGTGACCACTCCAGAAAGTGCTGCCTTGGGGACCATCTTGCGGCATCATACGTTGATCCTAGAGGCCATCCAACACAGGCTTGACCTCAAGAGCTTGACCTCAGACGAAGAGCACCTGGCGGGGACTGTGAAGGAGGTGTGGTGGGAATAAAACACATTGTTTTGGAGAGTTAGTGCCCCTCTCCCACTCCTCAGGGAGGAACCAGCTTCTGCGGTGTGCCTGCTGTGTGCCAGGCCTCTGCCATTCATAAGACTTGCGCTCATGTCCTCCCAACTCTGAGCGGCAGATGATGTCATCCGCATTCTACAGATGAGGGAACTGGGGCTCCAAGGGTTCAGGAACTTATCTAAGATGCTCCAGCTTGTCAGAGGTGAAGCCAGAATATAAACCCAGATTTATGAGACTCAAACCTAGATTTATTCCATTTGTCTAAACCTCGGTCAACTCAGAGTGAGCCCTGATATTGTCCTCTAACATGTTTTAAGAAGCAACTTCTTTTAGAGGAAGGAAAGTAAAATGGTCTTATTACATGCTCCATTCTCGCTTCTAGAAAGAGCCAAGATGAACATAGAACAAAGCTCTTGCCCATATGGGGTAGCAAGTAGTGCCAACTCATTTTCTGTAAGGCTTCTCAAAGTGTGGCCAGCATCCCAGAAAAACCAGGTGGGAGCTGGGGGAGAATCTGTGGATGTCCAGCCCAGGATCATGTGCATCTTGAGGGGGGATGTTATAAGGGAACATAAATTAAACCACAAGTTCACCTGCTATGCCTGTTGATCCATGTAGGAATGGGAGGTATCTACAAGGGCTGCCTTCTAACTGTCCACACAGGTGACAACTCCACCTTAGTCTGACTCTTCAGATGGGAGGAAGATAGCACACATTTCTGTGGGCTTCAGAGGAAAGATTTGTCTGTTAGACTCTCTTCCAGCACTTCATGTACTGCAGAGATGGGGCTTCTACCGTTGATCAGTTTTAGCCTCACTAATTAGTCTCATGCCTGCCTCCAGGGACATCAGGTTTATTTAGATAGACTTGAAAAGAGCAGAAATAAAATATCTTCCAAAATGAAAATTCCATTTGGCCATCTGTGGATGGTTTTGCTTTATTTTCTCAGTGTCCCGACTCTTTCTGCTGATAGCTCTCACATTCTGAAAGAGGACAGCTTTGAAATAATGTTCTTGGCCTCTTTAAAGGCCCTTTCTTTAAAAAGCTGAGTCTCTTTATGAAAGAAAATGATGTTTAAAAGGGTACATCTAAGTATCTAAAAATATGAAGCCACTGATCATGCAAAATTACGTCCAGACATTGAGACGATTATATATTGTGTAAAATTATTTTGATCTTCAAGGCAGAAACACCAACAACTGAATCCTACAGTTTCCCAAGCTTTTAATATTACGATGTAGAAAAGTTCCTTGGGAGACTCCTGGTTGCCAAGAGGGTATTGCTCATAGAAAATGCTTAATGCTTCCTTGTGTGCACCTTCTCTGTATCTGCACATTTGTCTTCCCATGTGCCTCCTGTTTTTCATTTGTTAATTTCCCTGCTCTTTGGAAAACAGCACTCTCCACTGCATTCATCACAAGCCATGTAAACTTGTTATAGATGGAGCAGTGCCTTCCTGAAATTAGCTTTTATTTTTTTTAAGTTGAAAATGATGTAGAAAATCTGTTACTATTAACCACAAACCTTTGTCTCGTGGTTTTCACTTAGATCCTGAGCATTTCCTCTGAGACACCCAGCCCTGAAGCTTCCCTGAGAGCAGTGCTGAGTAGAGCCATGGAAAAGTCCATCTCAGCTATTGAAATATGTCAGCTCCTGTGCAGCGTCCACAGGTCTTCCCCAGGCCTGCAGCCTGTCATGCAGGAGTTAGCACACACTGGTAAGGAACGGGGTGGGCGGGGTCCTGTCCGGCCCCCAGCTTGTTTCCTTATTGGAGAGAAGAGGCAGCAGCAGTCCATCCGTAGCTACCTTATTTATTTATTTCATATGCTCTCAGTACTTAGGAGAGTCAAAGACAGATGTAAAATGATACTGTTTGTGTTGATCAAGTAAAGATGACAATGATATTATTTCAGTCTTATGAGGGTCTCAAGTAGTCTGCACTCGCCTCTAAGAAGAAAAGTTAGAAAGCGAAGTAGAACCTGAGAGAATTCCCAGAGCCATGAGGTTTCTCTCCTATGCAGGTGTCCTTGCTCAGGAAAACGGAGAGAAGGACAGGTGGAAGGTGAGTAGTAAATTTCACCTGGAAGCCAATGACAAAGCAGATGAAGAGGCAGCAGAGCCCGTGGAAGGAGACTGCCAGCCTGGGAAACAGAGTGACCAAGGAGAGACGAGTTCCCTGCCAGAGCAAGAGAAAGACGCTTCTGCCTCCCCAGACTCTGCCAAGAAGAGCTTCGTCTGTAAGGCCTGCGACAAGAGCTTCCATTTCTACTGCCGCCTGAAAGTGCACATGAAGCGCTGCCGGGTGGCCAAGAGCAAACAGGTGCAGTGTAAGGAGTGTAACGAGACCAAGGACTCTAAGAAAGAGCTGGAGACACATCAGCTGGAGGCCCATGGAGCGGGCGGAGCGCCCGAAGCCCCCAAGAAGAAGAAGAGGAGACACCCAGTGACATGTGACCTCTGTGGGAGAGAGTTTGCCCACGCCTCAGGTACGTTCGGGAGGGCGAAGTAACTGAGCACCGTAATTCTGGTTTAGGTTCCAGGCCTGGCTTCTAGTTGTATGCAATAAGGCCGTGGATGCAGTGAGGGCTTAGAAAATGGCAGGTTCCTACAGAGGCAGGGCAGTGTTTTGAGAAGAGCGTGAGCTTTGGAATCAGCTCTCTGATCTTGAATTTCCCCATCAATAGGCACCCTGATACCACCTACTTTTTCAGATCATTATGAAGACTTAAGATAATATAGCTAAACACCTAGTACAGTGCCTATGATAGAGTCAGTACTCAGTAAATTGTGGCTGTTACTGTTCATAATGATAACCAGCTATTTAACGCCTTACTCGGGCTTCTATGCATCACTTGTCTCTTAATAATGAACAAGAGAACCGTGGGATGCATAGTCAGAATTGTTTTTCCTTGCCCCAGATGTTGGATAAACCTAATGACACATAAAAGTGAGTTTTGTGTCACTCTTTCTGGGTGACTGGGCCCTATTTAAGAGAAGGAGAGAGAGGATAGGAAAGATAAACCTAGGACAGTTCATGCCTGATTAAACCATGAATGGGACCGAAGTGACTTTTGGAGTGCTGGGTGGTGGGCAGATGGGCAGCGTGAGTTTGTAAGGTCAAAGTGAGTGTGGCCTGGCATCCTGTGGTTCATGCTGTGCTTCCTGGTGGGGCCTGGCCTGGGGCAGTGCTGTGGGATGTGTCCTGATGCTGGATATGATGCAGCTTCATGACACTGATTCCTGGTATCGCTCTGGTCCCTGACTCCCCAGGCATGCAGTACCACAAACTGACTGAGCACTTTGACGAGAAGCCTTTCTCCTGTGAAGAGTGTGGGGCCAAGTTCGCAGCCAATTCTACCCTAAAGAACCACCTGCGCCTGCACACTGGGGACCGCCCGTTCATGTGCAAGCACTGCCTCATGACCTTCACCCAGGCCTCGGCCCTAGCCTACCACACCAAGAAGAAGCACTCAGAGGGTAAGGTGTGGAGAAGTTCTGCTTTTCTCCCGAGACGTTCACCGTGTGAGCTGCCTGAAAACCCATTGGAATTAGGCATGATATATATCTCAGGTAGATTAAAAGCAAAACAGAATGTAAAATCTCTAGGCACACAGAGGACTAGGAACTCATGTATGCACAGGCATGTAAAATGTTAATGGTGACAGTTTCTGAAGGGAGGTGACTGACGTAGTGCTGTGGCTTTATAGTTATAGAATTTGAATAAAGCCAGGAACTCCTTGGCCTTTAAGGTGGACGTCGAGCATGGGACAGACCTTGGTTGAGCACCTACTGTGGTTTGGGCAGTGATGATGCTGGAGTGACTAAGCTGGATCCTGTGCTCACAGGGCTCGGGGCCTAGCGTGTGTCTAGTAGAGAGACAGTGACAGTACAGGGTCTTCAGTGGTGTGATATGCAGCAGTGGCCGGGAGATACAGGAGGGTGAGGTAGGCATGTCTGGTCCAGTCAGAGGGGAGGCACCTTCTCCGGGGATTCTGTGCACAGTTTGGAGCGTTCGTGTGTAAGTGATAATCTGCCTGCATCTAACCTGAATTGTTGCTGTAGCCTCCTAACTGGTCCCCTTCTCTCATCCCTCTCCTGGACAGTGTTCTCAATACACAGGCCCAGTGATTCTTTTGAAACTGAACTGTATCCTGCTCTTCTCTGTTCAGAACCCTGCGAAGGCTTCTCAAACACCTCACCTTTCCCTGACCACCTATGTGCAACCTCAGTGACCCCCACCCCAGTTCCCCACATTGTTTTCTCCATAGTGCCTGTCATATGATACATTATCTATGTTATTAATTTGTTTACAGTTGGTCTCCCCCTGTTAGAATGAAAGCTTTGTGAGGATGGAGCTGTTAGTCTCTTTTTCATTGCTGTATCTGTGGAACTCAGATACGGTACTTAGCAATAGAAAGCCCTCAGTAAACATTCACTAAGTAAGTGAATTTCTTGAGCCCTATAGCAAGCACTGAGGATAGTGTAACTATACACCACCTTCCCTCAGGGACTAATATCTCAGTGGGTAAACCAGACCATAAACAAATCAATTTGTAATATAAATTCAGGTAGTGGTCATTGCTATGAAGAAAAACAAGGCAGGATAACCAGCAAGAGGGTGACAGGGTTGGGGTGAGGGCACTGTTTGTATCATCAGAAAAGGCCTCTGAGAGCTGAGATTTGAGTAGAAACCTGAATGAGTGAAGTGAGAGATGGAACCAGTGGAAGCTCTAGGAGAAAAGCATCCCAAGTGAGAGTGAGCCTGAGCTATTCAAGAGACCAAAGAAACTAGAAGGGGCTGAAGCAAAGTAAACGAGTGGGTGTTGAGAGATGAGGTCAGAGAGGTTGCCGAAGGCCAGATCTTGCAGGGTCTTATGAGCCAAGGTAAGGGCTTTGGTTTTACGTAGACCATGTATTTGGTTTTACGTAAACAATGTATCAGCGCTGGTGTGGCTCAGCAGTTGAGTGGCAACCCAGGAACCAAGAGGTCACCGGTTGGATTTCCAGTCAGGGCACATGCCCAGGTTGTGGGCTGGATCCCCAGGAGAGGGCGTGCAGGAGGCACCTGAGGGATGTTTCTCTCTCATCCATGTTTCTATCTCTCTATCCCTCTCCCTTTCCCCCTAAAAATCAATAAAAATATATTTTTTAAAAAGTGACAGATATTATTAATAAAAACAACAACAAAAAACAACGCAGATGTATCACATATCATCTTACTGCTTTGGAGGTTAAAAGTCCCAAATGGGTCTTAGGAGGCTAACGTTTTGGCAGAATGAGAACAGAGAAGCCAAGTGAATTGTACTAACTACAGCAGGTCACTGGGAGAAGGCATTGCTGCTTCTCCAGATCCCTGCCTCTCACCTTTGCGTGCTGCTGCAGTTCTGTTCTGAATGTTTCAGGGGAGCCAGACTTGCATGTTTCTGGGCACAAGGACATATCTGTTTCCTGCGAGTAGAATGAGCTCCTCCATACTTGTGGCCTGGTTAAAAGATGAGCAGTCTTGTGTGACGAGAGCTCTGTCCTCATTCCTTAGGGTAGGGAGACCACCCTGACACCCTGTTTAATCAGCTGTGTTTATGAGGCATCATCTCATAGGATGGCTCAGACTCTCACCCAGTGTATTGCATATTGCCTGATGTACTATCATCTCCCAGGTTATATTTCCTGGTACATGCCTTAGAATGTGGTTTTCTTTTCAGGCATGCCATAAATGTTCGGTGCTGGCTCTAATAAACTCATGTGTATTTCCAGGAAAAATGTATGCGTGCCAGTACTGTGATGCTGTGTTTGCCCAGTCCATCGAGCTGTCCCGCCACGTGAGGACCCACACTGGGGACAAGCCTTACGTCTGCAGGGACTGTGGCAAGGGCTTTCGGCAGGCCAATGGACTCTCTATCCACCTGCACACCTTTCACAGTATGTACTGAGATTGCGGCTGTCGGGCATTCAGCACAGACCTGGCCCTGAGAAGACGTGACAGTCATAACGGAATTGTCGCTCTTTCAGAGCTGGGCACCGCTCAGGCCTTCCCCTCCCCTGCTCTCCTGCAAAACCCGGAGTCCGTCATGTCTGTTTCAAGAGGAATCCCATTTTAACATGTCATTGTGTGGCACCTGTTTCTCTGTGCAGGCTGTTTCCTCGCCTTCCTTTTTAGCCCACCTGGCCCTTTTTGGCTGACGGAGAAACTCTCTTTGAAGGAGAGAACCTCCTTAACAGACAGGCTCGCAGGGCACCGGAATATCTGTGTTAGTCCACTGAGTGTCTGTTTTCTACCCCCACCCTCCTTCCCTGCTCTCATCTTATGGTCATATCCACCTTTCCCTGTACGAGCAACCGGACACTTTGAGTTCACATATACCATAGTAAGGGGTCCCTGGTGGCGTGCCCTTAAAAGCCGTCTGCCAACAGTGTCTTTCAGATGCCACTGTGTTCACTCAGTTAGTGGGGTCTGCCCCATCTTTCTCCCCTTCTGCCAGAACTGATACCTGCAAAAACACATGCCTATTGAATACACACGCAGGAAGGAAGAGGACCTGCAAGTCCCGTCACAGCATCAGGAAACCACCGCATGGCGCTGGTAGCACATCGCACCGCGTCTGCCCTCAGTGCAGCAGGGGTGTAATCAGCACAGCACAGCAGCGCCCTAAGAGCTTGGTCCCTAAATCACACAGGCCTGGACTTGAATCTTGACCCTGCCATTTACTTCCTCTACCTTTCTAAGTCTCTTGGGGCTCTCTATAAACTAAAGAAAACAATAACGGTAGCACCTTATATTGTTGTGAGAATGGAGTGAGCTATCACATGTAATGCATGAAGCTCCTCACCTGACACACAAAAGATGCTCAGTAAATGCCAGAAAGTATTATCGGGAACAAGAGCAACCCTCTTGGTACCATTTGTCACCATCAAACCTCTCTTTCTGTACCATGCACCTTGCATACCCTTCTTTCCTTCTCCCACCCCTGCCCTTGCTCCCCACCCAGCATTTTCCAGTTGTCCACAAGTACGGTGCCTCACAGACCTGAGCTTTATGACAGCACTTCAGGTCTGTCGTCAGCTGGCTAGCAAAGGACTTTGCCAAAGCACCTGTGGGCCCATCCTGTGGCTGGACACTGGGCGATGCAGGAAGAATATAAAGTACCCCCCAGGGGAGACGTAACTGTCCCAAATTCCCAGTTGCAATGACTTCCAATGAGTGAGAGTGGCTTTGACCTAGTGCCACAATTTTGATGTCCTCTCAACTTCTTTAAATGACATTTTGCTTTAGTTTCCTGTTCCCCGTAGCATTACATGGGAGTCAGGAAAAGAGGGAGACACTATCAATTTTCACAATGGAAAGGACCCGAAATATTTTGCCATACCTTAGAGATCATTGGCAGCAGGCCCAGCATCCAGGTCCCTCTCTTTGTTCCATACCTGATTCATAGGACCACATCATTGCTTATGGAGAACTGCTTCAGAGTGTCTTAAAAGACCACATAAAACCCAGATTTCAAGGCCTCATGTCCACAGGGAAACTAGTTAATGATACTGAGTGCTGCTCATGTCAGAATTCCTGAGTTAGTCTGAGTCAGTGCACATAGAAGATTGGCTGGTGGACTGCACCTTTCTTGTGGGCAGGGGATTTTATTATTAAAACATTTCACTTTCTCTTCAGAAAAAGACTGAGTTTCCCACCATAGGGATGGCAAATGCATTCTTCTCGTGCTAGTTCTTATTTTCGAGATTCCACTGAAGAGGTGGCATGTCCACTTAAGTGTGTAGCTCGGAGTGTGGCCTTGGGAATGAAAGCTGGGATCATTACCTACTTCAGCCACTTCCTACCCATGCCACTGGGCACTAAGCCTTGACTTTCGTCATCTATACAATAGGATTGATTCTAGAACCTACTCACAGAGCCTGGAAGGATTAAGTGGGTTAATATATGTACGGCACCGAGAACGTGCTCGTCACATGGTGTCATTAAACATTACCTATGAAAGTGTTTTTATTATTGAGCCTAAAGTGAGGAGCAAGGGAGCATTCCTGCTGTCATTCATGTGACTGACAGCAAAGGAAATAGTGATGCTCTTGGGAGTATGTTGGAAACCTCTAGGGAGAGTTGGAAAACAGAAATGCCCACTACAAGCAGAGGAAGGGCAAGAGCGATAGACGCACCCTGGAAAGCAGTCAAGTGGAATTTAATTTGTAAGGTGTAAAATGGAGAATTGAGGTGGACTGTCTGACACTGCAGAGATGATTGATCCAGAAGCCTGGGAGGAATCCCACTTCCCAGGATAAAGGTAGGGGGTAGTCAGGTGATCACTGTACTGACTTCTGGTCCTTGGAGTCTGTGACCTTGCATGACCTCTAAACAGTCTTGTATCTGGAGCTGTGCACAACCACCCACACCTTACTGACTGCTGCCTGTGGTGTTTTTCCTCCCCGCGCCTTCCTCTCATGGACATCGTTCATGGAACCAGACATAGAAGATCCCTATGACTGCAAGAAGTGCAGGATGAGCTTCCCCACTCTGCAGGATCACCGCAAGCACATCCATGAGGTGCACTCCAAGGAGTATCACCCCTGCCCCACGTGTGGGAAGATCTTCAGCGCCCCCTCCATGCTGGAGCGGCACATGGTGACCCACGTTGGAGGGAAGCCCTTCAGCTGTGGGATCTGCAACAAGGCCTACCAGGTGACGCAGCTTCTCCTGGGAGCTCTTCCCTGTCCCTCAGCTACTTACTCTCCCTTTGCTCTGGCTTGTGGAGCACATCTTGTCTCCAGAGAGGAAGATTTGGCTGGTTCTCATGACGGTGCAGCCTGTAATTCAGATTCTCTAAGGTGATCTGGTTGGAGCAATGCAGAGGGAGCTCTAATTGGAGCAGAGTTCTCACCCCTCTGAAATGAATACTGCTTCGCCTTGGGGCACTCAACATTCTTTAGACTCTATTGACCCTGTGTGTCAGGGACATGAGAATGACAATAGGGTATGTAATACCGCCTAGAATTATCTTATTTAGCACAATTTCTTTTTTTTAACTCCCAGGGAAGAGCTCTGCTTTTTTACCTTAGAATTTGGTATGTAATTAAAGCAAAATTCCATATAGAACTACAAAGAAACCACATCCATGAGAAACCCTTAAGACCACAGAGAAAAGATGGTCCTTGCTGACACCTGTAAGGTTTGAGTCAGAGAGAAAAGCACAGCAGTTAAATCCATTTCAACAAAGATTGAGAGTTAACCTTGTACCAAGCCTTGTGCTGTGACCTTGGAGTTACAAAGCTGAGTAAGACCCAAGCTTGGTCTCTAGGAAACCATGGAATTGTAGGGAGAGTGTCCCAGTGCTGCTCTGAACCGTGGAAGGAGGGGGACGCTTGCCTGTGGAGTAGGGGCTATGCGTGCCTTGCTCCAGCAGGTGTCTCCACTGAAACTGGCGCCCTGGGAAGCACTGAGACACGGCTCAGTAGTGAGGAATAGATGGCAGGATTAAAATCCTCTCCTGCTACTTACTAATTGTGTGACCTTGGGCAAGTCATTTAATCCCTCACTCAAAAGAGTCCTACTCCTCCCTCACTGGCTTGTTGTGAGGAATGAGTTTCTCACTGAGCTTGCCCCATAGTGGCCTCTCCGGAAGTACCCCAGTGCCTGTTCCTGCAAACACTAGGCTCTGTCATGTCAGCACTCAGTGTGACAGGTAGGAGTGGGGTTCTAGACCCATAAGCTGACCTGAGAATGGTTTTCCCTCTCATGTGAGGGCTGTATGAGTGCTCTAGCTTGCTGGAACGTTCTTAATGTGAACACTTGCCACATTCCTTGCAGCAATTGTCTGGCTTGTGGTACCACAATCGGACCCACCACCCTGACGTGTTTGCTGCTCAGAACCACCGATCTTCTAAGTTCTCATCACTCCAATGCAGCTCGTGTGACAAAACCTTTTCCAACACCATTGAACACAAGAAGCACATCAAAACAGAACATGCAGGTGAGTGGGGCGCCAGAGACTGAGTGGGGGCTGATGAATGGGAGTGGCTTAGTGACATGCATCCTCGGTTCTGTGCCCAAACATCAACTTACAGTGCTAGAATGGGGGATGCTATGGTAATTACCTTAGCTTTGCCCCAGTGCACCTGACGGATGCCTCACTGGTGCCAAGTAACAGTAGCTTGAGTGGTTCCCAAACTCAGAGACCTGGGGCAGTATAAGCGCCTACCAGCCCCTGAGTGACTCTAAATCACAGCACATTGGAGGGGGCAGCTTTGGTGCAGATGGGCCCGGGTGGAAGTCCTGACCGCAGCACTGATCAGCTACATAACCTTGTCAAGTAACTTCTCTTTTCTGAGCCTGTTTTCTTCTCTTCAGAATGGCTGTTTTTAATACCTACCTTGCAGGTAAATTTGGGGATAATTACAATAGCCAGCAGTTATAAAACATTTCCTATGTGCGAGACACTATGCTAAGTACCCCATGTGTGTTTTGCCATTTAACCCTCACAACAGCCCTGTTTGCACCCAGGCAGTCTGGCTCCAGACCTTGAGTCTTTGCCACTAGAGATCACTAACATCATAGGTATACAGTTCCTGGCACTTGGTAGACACTTGCTAAGGGAGACACATTACTCCCTGCCCAGTCTTGTTACTGTCCAGCCTTAGGAGCCATCCTTCTGTTCTTCCTTCGTGTGCTTTGCAGATATGAAGTTCCATGAATGTGACCAGTGTAAGGAGCTCTTCCCCACACAGGCTCTGCTTCAAGTTCACATCAAGTGCCAACATTCAGGTCAGTGCCCCTGGGGATGTGATTGAGCGGCACTGCCTGGCAGTGACTCTCCTCTCCACTGTTCACAGCTGTGCAGCCCAGGCTAAGTAACTTAGCTAACTGTGCCTCAGTTTCTTCAGCTATAAAACGAGGACAGGTGTAGTTCCTACCTCATCAGGGAGCTGTAACAATTGAATATGTTAATAGAAAACACATAGCGGCTGACACCAGTGAGAGTCCCGTAAGCATTACCTGTGGTTATTATTGTTACTGCTATGTCTCATCAAATCTAAAATGCCAGTCATAAGAGGCGCCCTTTTTAATGAACCATTAAGAAAGAAAAGCAACTGCCAATTAAACTATGCTTCCTTCTCACTTAGAACTTACAGGTTATGCTAAGTGCTGTTTTGGACTTAATTTGACATAGATTTTTATATACTCTTGTGTGCGTGCAAAAAAGGAAAACAGAAGAAATAAATTAAGGTAAGAACCCAGCTTCTCAGAGTAGCTTTCAGTTCAGATTGTTTGTGTGCATGTTATTGCACGTGGTCTTAAACTCTGCCCTCAGCCCTGGGGATGGAGCCCGTAGTGAGGCCTCTGGCTTGGTCTGTTGTGCACCATGTGAAACCAATGTACTTTTGATTCCCGCTTTGGGGATACCCAGGCATTCTGAACATTCACTTCTCGCCTCAGTTAAAGACAGGCTTTAACCACTTGTGTCTTACGGATTTTCTTCCAAGCCCTGACACACATCCTGCAGGTCTTGGTGCAGGATTTCAGCAGGTTCCAATGTTCTACATGCACAGGCGTTGACAGTGATGCCCAACTGCCCCCTCTCCCGTAGCAGTCATTAAATGCCATTGAGTCCATTTCAGAGATGCTGAAACATGCTTCCTAGATTTGATGAAATGCAGTGTCGTCAGCACCACCCTCTACAGCTGAATGAGTACCGGGCTTCAGCAGAGGTGGATTTAGCCTGAACCTAGTGCTACTGAGTCTGTGGTTCAGAGAAGCTTCGGGTCCTGCAGAACCCAGGTCTGCCTTTGAGCTGTGCTCCTCGCTGCTGCGTCCTCTCTCCTGCCCTGCCCTTGTCTCTCTCAGCCATTTCACCCACAGCTCATCTCCCTGTCTCCCCCTCCAGGGTCACAGCCATTCCGATGCTTGTACTGTGCGGCCACTTTCCGCTTCCCCGGAGCCCTGCAGCACCACGTCACCACAGAGCACTTCAAACAGTCGGAGAGCACCTTCCCCTGCGAGCTCTGTGGTGAGCTCTTCACATCCCAGGCCCAGCTGGAGGGTCACCTGGAATCCGAACACCCAAAGGTGGTGGGCACTGAAACCCAAGCAGCAGCCTCGCAGGTGGTGCAGGTGACTGTGGGGCCACCTGACATGAAGGTGTTGACATGGGGTTCCTAAGGCTTCTCTAGGGGTCTCTCACAGCACCCAGCCTTCTCTCTTGGGGCTCCCAGAGGGTCTTATAAGCAATACATTCATCACCAAGATGACCTGTAAGAGTCTCCCTGGGTCTCTCACCAAACAGAACAGAAAATTCTAGTGTCCTGGTGGCCACATGCAAGATGACCCCTAAGTAATAGGAGCCTAGAACAAGAATTTCCAAAAGCAGAACCACTTTGGCACTTCCTGCCTCCGGTGAAACACTGTGGGGTGTGGCAAGAGTTGTGGGAAACCTCAGAGAAGGGTGGACGAGCTCTTTGCTGGGAGCACTTCAGTAGGAACACTCTGATAGCTCCTCTGGGCTGGGCACAGAACATGTGGCGTGTTGGGCCTCTCGCCTTTACTGGGGTGGAAAGCTGCTTCTCCTAATGTGTGTCAAGGCTAAGCTTGCTCCAGCCCCTCTTTCACTGGTCTTCCTTTTTTTAAAAATATATCTTTATTGATTTCAGAGAGAGAGAAGGAGAGAAAGAGAGAGAGAGAGATAGAAACATCAATGGCGAGAGAGTCATTGATCAATCCCGCAACCGGGCATGTGCCCCGACCGGGAATCGAACCCCGATTGCCTGGATCCTAGGTCGATGCTCAACTGCTGAGCCACTCCCGGCTGGGCTCACTGGTCTTTCCATCTTCTCCAGAAAGGGTGGGCAGGAAGGAAAAGCAGCTCCCTTCTGTGTACTGGCAGTAATGTGAGGGTGGACAGGACAGGAGCTGCAGGCTGATTGCAGGCCACCCAGCCTTCTGGAGCATCGTTTATAAACTGGTTCCAGCCTCTGGGGCACGGAGGGCGAGCAGGTGAGCAGGCCTCTGGGTGATTCTCTGTCCTTATTAACCAGAGCGGCTCTGCTTTTAGCATTTTCATCCATTAGGATTCTTGGTAAGATGTCCTTTGGGGAAAAATAGTTCCATTGCTAAAAGAAAAAACAGTTCGAAAACTACTCTCCTAGGTGATTTTTGTTTTGTTTTGTTGATCCTCACCCCAGGATTCCCCCCCATAGATTTTTAGAGAGGGAGGGAGGGAGAGAGGGAGGGAGGGATGCATCAATGTGAGAGAGCTACATCGATTGGCTGTCCCCACACCCTGACTGGGGCCGGGCATCAACCCTGCAACCCTTCAGCATGTGGGCCGATGCTCCAACCACTGAGCAACACTGGCCAGGCTTCCTGTATGATTTTTGATTGAACATTACAGTTGGTATCTTCACTCCCAACAGCACAGTGATGTGGCTGAGCTTGGCTGCCCCACTTCTGCCCACTCTTGTCTTATACCCTGCCTCCCGCTCCTGGCTAGTTCTCAAGAGCCAGGGTCCCTGTGCCAGCTGTGGGCAATCTGGTTTGAAAATATTAGGGGGTGTCAAGCTGTTCTGAGCTCCATAGTTCAGAAGCATGAACTTGGGGGTTCCAGCAGGAACTGGTTGTATTTAGACACAGACTAGTACCCCCCAAGATGGGAAGGTCATCTTTAATGGATGTAGATTTGGAAGGGGTATGTGGCCAGTGGAGGAGAGAAGGAGGTGCCTGTCTTAACAGCCTGGTGCGCCAAATGAGTGAGTGACAGAAGTCACATTTCGTCCACCTGCTCTTCCTCTGTAGCCATTAGCTCTGTAGCCGTGTAGCCACCGAGAAAGGCTCTTAGCCTGATCGAAGTCCAGAAACACTACTTTTGGCAAGTCAAGGCTTCTGGTAAATCTTTCCAGTTTCCATGGTTCTAGCCTGAAACTAACCACCTTCAGTAGCATTCCTTTTACATGGTACTTACCTCTGCAGTGTAATCCTCGAGATAGGAAAACCCAGTGTGAGAAACCGAGCCAGCGTTCACTGGTGTGTAATCATAGAGCCCGGGCCCCCTGAGATGGCATACTGAGCTAAATTATAGCAATTTAGCACACGGTTATTTAAATTGTTTGCCTGCCTTCTCTTTTGCATCAGTGGTGTGTAAGATTTGCCTCTTCCCATTAGGCACATGTGATTGCTCTCCTCAGGTGAAAACATAAATATCATCATTACATCATGAGATGAAAACCATGTAAATTCTGGGGAGCTAACTGTGGACACTGCCCAGAGCAGCCTCATGGTCTTTCCCTTTCAGGTGATTCAAGCCTCAGAGCCAGCAGCCTCAACAGAGCAGGTGATCACTTTGGAGGAGACCCAGCTTGCTGGTTCCCAGGTGTTTGTGACGTTGCCAGACTCGCAGGCATCTCAGACCAGCTCTGAGCTCGTGGCGGTGACCGTAGAGGATCTGCTGGATGGTACCGTGACCCTGATCTGTGGTGAGGCCAAGTGAGTGGTTGCTTATCTGGTGAAGGCATTCGAAGCAGATAGAAGGCCCTTTGCCCTTGGTCCCTGACTGTCCTGAGTGGTGAGCATCTTAGCCTAGCACCAACCAAAATGGTCTCACTTGGAAAACAGACTGAAGAAGAGTCGTCGTTCTCATAGAACCAACAATGCCTGAGTGAACACTGACCCACAGCCCTCCATAGCAGGCCGGCCGGCCCACTTCCCAACAGGCCTACTATGGCCTCCGCAACACTGTCCCTCCCTAAGTGGAGTATAGCTTCTGAAATAGAGTCTGAAAGAGCCATGGGCAGGAGCTGGTGATCAGGGTAACCAGAGAGCAGTGAGCGGGCAGCCCTCTGTAGAATGGCAGGCGTGGGACCATAGTCCACACAGTGGGGCTGCAGATGTTGTCAGTGCCTTCTGGCCACTTGAAAATGAGAGAAAATTACCCATAGACCATCCAGGGACCCCCAGTCTCGAGCACACTTGGCTCCTTCCTCACTTCTCTCATCCTCCCAGCTGTTGGTGGTCACAGGACAGGTAGCAGCGGGTTAACATGGGCCTCATTCACACGGGGGGACCCACCTGGTCAGTACAATCAGCCCTTCTTAAAACGAAGCCTTTGAAGTGTTTCTGCTGGGCATGCTCAGTGTGAGGCATCTGGCTGCAAAGCCGGTCTCTGCCCCTCTGGATCCTCATGCTGTTCTGTACCTGAAGGCTGGACCCTGCAGCCTTCCCCTGCTGGCCTCGTCCCCTTCCCTAATCAACGCCTATACTTCTGCCCGACCTGGAGGCTTTGTCCTCCCTCCGGAGCATGTATTATAGCTAAGTGTCCAGCGCCAGGTGGAGTGGTGACCGTGACCACCCCTGGTTCTGCCTCCTGCCACCGGCTTCCACGCTGGGAGCATGGCCTGCTGTCTGAGCTCTTCCAGGCTGCCACCGCTACTGCAGGTCAGTGATCCCTTGGAGTCTGAATTTCACCAAGCTCCTTTATTTTCAGTTCCTAACATGTAATCTGATAATTAATGGTTTGTGGAGTCCATTATGAAGTGCAATTAGATGGATGTAGGTTCCCGCCGTTTGGAGGGAATGACTAGCATTTATCTTCCTTTCCTCTGTGCCAGAAGGTCCTGCTAGTGCAGTGTTTACACATAGGCGGGCTCCCTGCCACATCAGGGCTTGCACAATCCCCGCACACCCACCTGCAGAGGGTAGTGCCCAGCTTCATCACTGGCCCTCAGCTCTAGGTGGCAGAAGACTAGCCCACCCCTTTCCAAGCACATTTCACATGTGCAAGCAGGGATAAAGGTCGATTTGGTCACGGGAGGGACTTCTATTGCCACCACACACTGCTGGAAAGGCAGAAGTGGATCCTTAGCACTGACCAGTGTGTTCTCAGGCTAGCCATTCACAGCTGGCCATTGACTTTGTGCAGGCAGCAAGCTCCAGTCTCCAGACTGGGCCGGCTCACCCACAAGGCCCTGGCCTCTAGTGTGTCCTCACTGTGATATGCAAATCACTTGAGCTTGTCAGCCCAGGGATCTTCATTCTGAAGTAAATGAGCTCTTCAGAGGCAAGTGGGCCTCAAAAGCCAAAAACTGACCAGAAGATGGTGCTCAAACCTTTAAGACTTGCCTCCATGGGAAGCCCTTGCTGCTCTGCCAAGCCTATCTCTGTCTCCTTAAGGTTTTCAGTCCTGTGAGCTATCAGACCTGGAGAGCTCTCGATCTGCAAGTGGCAAAATGGCACTGAATCTCCTGTTGACACCAGATAAAACTCACTGAAAGAGAGTGGAGTGGCCATGTTTATAGTGCTGTGAGGCCAAGCCCAGTGGATGGGAATGCAGCTCCTCCCGAGCCACGGGCCACGGCTGGGAACTGCATGTCATCAAAACATCTTCCAGCCAAAACACAAATAAAAATGAATCGCTGAGGGCCTGTAGGAGAAAGTGATTTTTCTTTTTAAATAGTCTTCTGAATAAAGAAAGCTGTTCGTATTAAACCTAAGTGTCAAATCATTTCCAGTACTGAGAAACCCTTCTCAGTTTCTCATGGACATGGGTTGTGATAGGATATGCGTTTTCTTCAGTCACCGGACTAGCAGGTCACCGTGCTGGGAGCAAACACAGATGTGTGACTGCTGCTGTTAGGCTCCTGCCATGGCTCACTCGTCAGGAGGCACAGGCCTGCTCATTCTGGTCAGGGATGACAAAGGCCGTCCTGAATCTAGTCTTAGCTCCAGGGAGACCTTTGCGAGACACGGCCTTGGCGCTGATTTGACAGTCACTCCCTAGAGATGCCCAGGTGTGAATTTTATTGTACAAAAACTTTTTCTAGCTCTATTTGGCTGTTTTATTCTTTTCTCCCATTTCTGCGGTGAATTGCTGCCACTGAGGACGTTGTTACCGTGGTCTCGGTCCACATCAGTGACTTCCTTACGGCAGTGGTGTTCTCTCTGCCTTGTTGCCATGGGTGCTGCTCTGCGGGCTCGCAGAGCTCATGAAGCAGCTGGTCAGGAGGGACAGGCAGGCAGATTCTGAGCTGGAGTCTAATTTGGTGGGAAGGATAAAGCTCACTGCAGAGCAGGACTTACCCATCCCAGGTAAGTGAGAAGCACATAGATGATTCGGGAGCAAGGATTGCTACAGGGAGATGTCCACATACATGAGCAGAGCCTGGGGCCAGGGGTGTAGCACAGGGGCAGAGACAAAGGCGTTCCCTCATTGATTTTGTAAAGCTCTTCTGTCTCGGAAGCTCTGTGTTTGGAAACGTTGAGGCAGGGGCCTCCCGTGGTCTACAGTGTGGATCCTGGGTTCCCCCTGGTGACTCCAGTCCTCTCTGAGGAAGTGTTGACGCCCCCCTCCTGCTGACCATGGAACACACTTCAGCCTCATACACCAGGGAAGGGTCCAGAGAGGGACCGAGGGATGAAACGAAGTCAAGCCCGAGACGGTGAATGGAGAGACAGGGTCCCTGTTCTCTGCGCCTGGTCTAATCAGAAATACTCCTAGGATGGAGGAGATGAGGTGGGCCCTGAGGGTCTCTCTCACCCAGGAAATGTGGTCACCACAGCCTGATGGCATATTAACGAGTAGGGCGGGATGTGCCTTCAAATCTCATGTGCCTGAGACCCGTGAATTAACTAAGGATGGAGAAAACTGTTCACCTTATGTTGAATGGCTTCTACAATGTTTCTATTACACTGGGGCTGGGAAGCTGACCATGATGGACAAAGTGCTGGCGTGTTTTAATCAGTCCTCCCAAAGGAAGGGTCCAGCAGCCCAGCCCAGCCCTGCTCTACCGTGGCCCAGTGCATCCAGGGACACTTGGGAGGTAGGGAGAAAATGGGAGTGAAAGGAAGACTTGGGGTTAAAGGGAGTGTGGAGGCAAGTTGATAATTGTTTTGTTGCCATGGAAAACCCTGGGCTGGTAAGACTTGGGCCAAAAGCTCAGAAGCGCAGTCAGAACTCAGAAACCGGCTACACCTATGACTGGCCTGTAGCGAAGAGAAGCTGTCTGCTTTGGGGATTACATTGTTGAGAAAACTGTATCCCCTGGGCTAACTTAATTTAGATCACTTCCAACTCATGGAATTATCTGTCGCCTCCCTCACCAGGGCCAGCCTCCCCCCACCACCACCACCCGTAGTCAGGACCACTAACCAGCACGTGATGCTGAATAACTGGATTACAAACTATTGCTCGTGCTCACCTTGCTCTATTCTACATAAATATTTGCTTCGAAAGCCATGATGCTGTGTGAGATTCAGATAGACGGTGATGATGTTTTCTCTGGGCAGCTGTCAAACAGGCTTGGTGTCCTAGGGGTTCTGTGCACCCTCAGGCCATGTTAGTGAGAGCAATGGCCTCCTGTCCTCTGGAGTCTTGTTTCCTAAACCCTCTTTCCCAGGGAGCCCCTGCGGAGCAGTATCAGACCTGGGCACGTCCCAGCTGTGCCACTTTCTGACTGTGTGACCTTGGATGAGATACTTACCCTTTCTGAGCCCCCTCCTCTGACTCCCATCTATAAATGGGGGAAATTAACTATATTTATCCTACAGAATTGTATTAGGGATTGAAAGCCTGGGCTTAATGAATTTAGTGTTGGAAATTTTAGTCGTTAATAATCAAGTCCTTCACATACAGGCCAGCCATTCCCTGCAATTTCTAGCACTGAGGAAAATGTTCATTCCTTCACGTTTACGTCTCTTCTTCCAGTCTCTCCGAATCCTTAGGGATCCTTATAACACCCACCACTTCTCATTTGTCTCTAGAATCTCCACTGCCCCCAAAGCATAAAATGCTGAGCAGATAACTGTGAAATAAGCAGAAACCTTTTGTGGTGGAAACTGGAAATGTCACGTTGCTGGCAGTCAACAAGGAAACAAGAGGCAGAGAGAGGCACAGAGAGGCTGTTGTGATTTCTGCAGTAAGATCCAGTGTGTGAGGCCAGGGGAGGGGTCATCCTGCAGCCTCTCAGCTCAGGTCAGCTGAGGCTGGGGAAGCGGGGGGTGGGGGACTCTTCTAATTTCTCCCAGGACTGCCCTGGAGTAGCCCGCCCAGTCGACTTGTCCCAAGCCCACAGGGCCTTGTGAAGGAATGCCCCTCTGCCTAAGCCATGTCTTTGGAGAGAGGCTGGAGCTGTCATCTTTGGAGCAGTAATCCTGAGAGCATCCAGACAGCTGGGGGTAATTGCAGCGTGCAGCTGGCTCCAGCCGTGAAGGTGACTGTGCAGAAGGAAGCACAGGAGTGATGGAGCAGAGGTAGGAATGGGCCGAGTGAGTCCCTGGTGACCCAGTCACCTCAGGCCTGAACTCAGAGCTTCCCAGCCCACCTCAGACTAGACGATGACCTTGGGCAAGTGACTCCTAACAGTGATTGTGAGGAGGGAAGTTAACATTTATCAAATGCCTAACAGAGTACAGATGCTCTGTTAAGGATGTCTGTCCATGTACAAGAGCCATGGGGAAGAGGGCAGAGGGTGGAAAGGAGGAAGGCTGGCGCGTCCTGAGGTCGAGGGCCTGGAATGAGCTGAGCTGCAGGGTGCCCAAGATTGAGGCAAGACTTACTCTGGGCTACACCATAGCAACCAGAGCCAGTGCCCCAGACCAGACAGATGGAGAGGGTTGGAGCAGGGGCTCAGAGCTCTGTGGCACCGCAGCTGAGAGGTCACGTCCAAGTAAAGGCACAGGCTAAGTGTCAGGTGGGGACACACAGCAAGAGCAAGGGAAATGGAGCACTGAGTATGGACTGATCTCTGGCCTTCCCACCTGGCCTCCTGAGCTTTCGCATTCATTGTTTATCTCACCCTCCTTGGGCTCAGGGGTGTGTTTGGTGTAAGAAAGTAACTTGCCCTATGCCAAGAGCCCTCACCCTTCACGGGAAATAACCTGGGACTCAAGGTTTCGCTGAGAAGAGAGGGTCTAGGACACAGGCATAGAAAGCAAGCTCCTTTTCTTTCTGTGCATGTTTTGTCTTCTGCCCTGTCACCCACTGCTGCCAGATCACAGGTCTCGTGTCCACAAAGACACTTGTGTCTCCCCCGATACTTGCACCAGTCTGCGCGCGTGCAGGGTACTTAGTAGCTGCTGTTGCTCCGCTGGGACCTAGCAGTGCTGCCCTCACTGGCCACTTAGGGAGAACCCAGCTTCTCCATCTCACCCCTTCCAGCAAGGCTGTTCCCAAGTGACCTGTGGGCTGGTCTGTCCAAGCTTCCTCCTTTCTTTGTTTTCTAAGGAGACATTAGCAGGAGACTAAGAGCAGCTAGCTAGCCGGAGCTCCCAGCTGCTCTGGTCAAACACCACTCCTGCCGGCCCTTTCTACTCTGGTTCCCCCAGCACAAGCCAGAAACAGCTGATCAAACACATCAGGACAAGGTCAGTCCAGGGACCCACAGTCCCCTCCAGGGGAGATTTCATAGACCTGCCATCAGGAGGGTCTGATAAGAATGGGCAGGAGGTGGGAAAAGGAGCCCATGGGGCTGGCACAGGACTGAACAGCTTTTCATTCCATTTAGGGTTGAAACCTCTGTGCTCCATGCAGAGTCCAGCCCAACGCCAGCATTTCCAGGGAGGCCAGGGCTAGAGCTGCTTGTGAGCCCAGGAAATTGAAGCAAATGAGGAAAGGGTAGCTGTGCGGGTGTGACTGGGGTGAGAGAGGGCAGGTTGGAGCCACTGGGTTTGAGAGAACAGGGTTATTAGATTATCACAGGATGACTCCAGGTCCTCCCTCGCCAAACTGTGACCCCTTCAAGGGCAAGAACTGTGCATTATTCTTGTTAACTCGTACATGCATGCGTGCAGGGAGCCTGGCACATCGGTGTCTTAGACCTGAAGTTCTGGAGGCTCTGAGGGCCTATCAGGTGCTCGGTCCCACGCCAGATGCTGTGGAGGTTGGGGCTGTATCCGGCTAAATGGTGCGTGGGTCCTGCTCCCAGGGGACTGCTAACCCATGGCCACGTGAGGGTTATATATGAGAAATAAGTACGAAACACACCCATGCCCGTGCATGAGGGTGGGGATTAATTTTTTTTAGAAATGTTCTCATAATTAATAGTTACTATTGTTAAGCACCCACCACATGCTGGACACTGGACGAAGAGTGTCGTGTAATTCTCATGTCACCAGCACCATGATGCCATGCTGTTACTCTTCCCATGCTACAGATAAGGAAACCACCACCAGAGAAGTCACCTGAATTAATAACCAGTGAGCAACACAGCTGGGACCTGAACCCAGTCCCTCTGGCTCTAGAACTTGCTCTTAAACACCATGCTGTATTCAAGCACTGCTTGCTTAAAACTTAGCCATCCTTCCCAGTCCTTAAGCAGCCGGGTCTGTCAGACCTGGACTGTTGTCCTAGCACCTACCAAGTCTCCCCACCTGCTCTCTCCTTTTTCTTCCCATCCTGACTGAGACTGCAGCCAGGCCTAAAACTGCTTTTATCAGCTGGAAGTGTGGCGTCCAGTAGCAACAGGTCATGTCCTTTGCCTTTGCTTTGGACT